GAGGGGTAAACGGGCAGTGCTCTCTGGTGGCCTGCTGACAGGTCTCAGTCTTCCTTAATGTGCCCTGAGAACAAGGAATGCTCCCTCACAGGGTGTAGGACGGGTGGGCACCCAGCAGGACGGGGCTGCTGCAGTGTCCCCTTCCAGTTTAGGGATGCAGTGTCCAGGGAGAGGATCAGCCTGCAGATGAGGTGAGGGAGAAGGGGGTTAGAAACTCTTGCTGTAGTTTAAGTATGTAGCGAGGTGGGGCGCAGGCACTGGGCAGGGTTGGGGTGTTGCAGCATCTCCCTCTGGTTTAGGGGTGCTTCAGTCTGGGTTGATGCACTCATCTCCACTTCCTTGACATCAGGCGCACACAGCTCCGAGGGGAACAGGATCCCAAAGCAACAGGCCAAGGGGAACCGGGTTATTACCATGGGGATAAATAAAAGAGACCATGTACCATGTTTCTGCTGTTCTGCAGCACGTCCCCCAGGCATGGGCTGGAAACGATTTGTATGGTAACCCTTATCGTACAATATCCACCAATATAACAATAATAACAGGACAAACAACACCATTTCCATCACAACAGTCGATCCACAGGTGTCCCGAGTTGCTTTTCTGCTGGTGTAAAATGTCTGAAGAACAAAACAAAATAGGTCCCAGCCCCACTAGCAGGGACAGATTATTGCTAAATCTCCTTGCTGATTGCAAAACATGGAATAGAAACATCCTTTCCCCTTTTTCTTGTTTGGGTCTCTAGGCAGGCTAGTGGGTTTCTGAGGTGGTGCACCGTAGTCTGGTTTGTACAACATACCAGATTTGCAATAGGGCGCTCTTCCCTCGTAGCCAGTGCTAACCGCACTACCCAGAGCCATCTTAGGGGGCGCTCTTCCCTCGTAGCCAGTGCTAACCGCACTGCCCAGAGCCATCCTAGGGGGCGCTCTTCCCTCATAGCCAGTGCTAACCACACTACCCAGAGCCATCCTAGGGGGCGCTCTTCCCTCATAGTCAGTGCTATCTGCGCTCGGCTGCTCTGTGCGTGATGTTCCCGGGGGAGAGGGCAGGCAGGTTCCTTCCCTGTTTGCTCCTTCATGGTGCTGGAAAAAAGGTCAAAAAAGAGTTTGGGTTTTCCTCTTCAAAAGCAGATCAGAAATGGGGCTCTCACCTGCCCTGCCATCCCTCAAAACACCAGGGGTGACTGGAGGGGCCAGCAGGCCTGACAGCGCCCTCAGTGCTGCCCAGACCCAGCCGTGCCCCTGCCCCAGCCTCCCGGGGTGCGCAGGGCAGGGATCCAGCCTACCCAGAGCCATCTTAGGGGGCGCTCTTCCCTCGTAGCCAGTGCTAACCGCACTGCCCAGAGCCATCCTAGGGGGCGCTCTTCCCTCGTAGCCAGTGCTAACCGCACTACCCAGAGCCATCTCGCTCGTGGGTGATGCTAATTCGGATCTGTAACCCCGGGCTGAGCATCGGTGCTTCTGGTCCAAGGTTCCGTCCCTGACCCCAACCACCCACCCGGTTAGGTTACCTTTCAAACTGCCCTGGGTCCTAACTGGGCTGTTCCCTCTTCGCTGCTGTGACTCACTTGGGGTCTCCACCGTCTGCTAACCGCACTACCCAGCGCCATCCTAGTGGCTCTTTTCCCTTGGAGTTACATGGTGGATTGTGGTTAAAGATTCATTTTAATGGTTCCAGCTGCTTGTTCAGCAATGTTTGTATCACATTGATCTGTCCATCTCTTCCCATTAGCTAAGACTCTAACAGCCTACAGATAGGCTCTGAGAGGACATGACCACTAGTTCCACCAGGAAGTTACTCGGAGTTTCCTCCCCTTTTTGCCTCACCGCTGAGCCCCAGTGGAAACACTTTCCTGGGGCTGGACCTGGTAGGAAGAAGTTCCCATGGTAACCGGGCAGCCAGGAGCGCCAGACCCTTTTGAATGGCCAGGCCCTGGGGCAGTTGGCCCCTTTGCCCCCCCCACTCCCAGGTGGCCTGACCAGGGCGCTCGTGGGTGATGCTAATTCGGATCTGTAACCCCGGGCTGGGAGCCCTCCTGCCCCATCCCTGTCCACTCACATGCCGGTCCTGCTGTGTCTTTTCAGCAGGCACTTCCCGGTGCCAGCCCAGCTGGGAGCTGTACCAAAGGAGGTGCTACTTTTTCTCCTCCACTGCCCAGCAGTGGCAGGCAGCCAGAAACTCTTGTTCGAGCCAGAATGACGACCTGGTGGTGATCAATGACCAAATGGAGCAGGTACAACCCCCCCCTCTCCTCAGCTTGCTGTGGGGGAAATGCATCCATTCAGAGGGCTGTCATGAGGCCTAGCCTGTGCTCCAGGTCTAACCCCCACCCTCTGCGTTCTCTCGAGAATTACTTGGCCCGTAGAGCTGGGTCCATACATCACTGGAAGGCACTGAAGTGGACAACACTCCTGTGGCATTTACGTAAGCAAGGGGCCATCCTCTGCTCTCCCCTTCCTGCCCCAGCCCTCCCTGGCTTCCCGTGCTCCTGTGGGCACTTTCCACCTCTGTAGCTCCAAGGCATGCCTGGGATGGAGCCCCTTGTGCTGGAATTCATCCCCTCAGCACTGCCCCCCTGCAGGGCACTGGATCGAGTCTGGCCTAGGTCTGTAGGCATTGTGGCATTGCTGAAATTAATGGGTAGCAGGTTTAAAACTAATAAAAGAAAGTTTCTTTGTGGCAGAGTCCTTGTAATCCCAACAGTCCTGTGCCCAGGATTCCTGCGGGATCGACCCCCAACCTTGTTGTGCTCACCTAGGGCAGGGGCTAGGGTGTCTCCACTCCAGGCTGCTTGCTCCACACTGGACACTTCATTGCAGACAGCTCAAAGCAAATACAATTTATTAAACAGCAACCAATTTTGAAAAGGAAAACTGGGAAGGAAAACACCACCCCGCTCTTCGGCACGGAGACCTCACACAGTGTCGCTGCAATGTCAGGGCAGGTCACAGTCTGTTTCCTGTAGGTCCCAGGCCTCCTGCTAAGGCCCTGACTGTGCCACAGGGATATTGCGGGTTGGGCACTTACTCTGGTGGTGGCCATGTACCTTCAGAGTCTGGGAGACAGGAACCTTCTCCCCAGAATCTGCACCCAGTCGTGGTAACAATCCCCCTCCAAATCTGGCCTGTAAGGTTTCTTGGCTAGGGGTGTCTCCCGGCTCTGGGCAGTAGCCTAGAGCCTCCTCCCTTTCCCCAGCTGCTCACGCACCAAGCTTCAGACTGCGCTAGCCCAGCTCTGCTCTCTGCTGCCAGCTCTCTGGGCTGCTACTCTGGTCCCTCTGGCTTTGTGGTTTCAGCCCTGCTCCACCATGGATTTGCTGTCTGCGCTGTGTCCCTGTCTCTGGTCGGCCCCGCTCTGCTCCCCCACTCAGCTTGGACTCCTACTGTCTCTTGAGTTTAGCCCCACTGTTTGACCCAGGCAAATCCACCTCAAACAGGAACCCCCCATTCCCTGAGCCCCCGTTTGCCCCCCCGCCCTGTCAATCAGGCTGACTAGTAACATCGGTCTCTCCCCATTGCTCCTAGGGACTATCAGCGTTAGGGTGTAGATTTCTCAGACCCTCCCCTTCTGTTTGGCTCTGCAGTGAGCCAGCTACCCTCTCCCCCTCGAGTTTTAGTAAGGAGCCAACAATCCTCTTACATTAGTCGGACCACAAACCAATGAGGGAATTCAAAACAATTGTCAGCAGAGGGGAATGTAACCTGGCCCAAAGCAACAGCAATGGCAGCAGCACTGCAAACACTTACAAGCATTGAGCTTATGATGAAGGGACCAAGGGACTCCAGCTCCAGAGGGGTGTTTCCGGATCAGCGTGTAACTTTAGAATGTCCCAGTGTCATAAGTGCCCAACGACTGACAGTTAGACAGGAAACGCAAAGGCGACTGTCGACCAGCATCTCAGACCCCACAGGGCAGAGCTATGCTTATAAGGAGCACACGGGATCTTTTCAGGGGAAAAGGCAATGCGTCATGTTTATTGAGAATACAATATAAGCAGCATATGGGGACACACACACACACACACACACACACACACACACTTACGACCCTTGCTGATGTTGTTATAGTTCCCAGTCTGTAGCTTAGACCAATCTAATGGCCAGTTAGATTGGGCCCCAGCTGGGGAACTGGGTTCTGCTAGTTGCAATCCAATAGTTCCAGCCTTTGGGAGACAGAACCCAAAGTCTGATGGCAAGACTCCCCATCTGTTATCTAAGTGCCTTCTCAGACAAGTCAGTGAGTTTTGCTGCATCATATTTAGATCAGAAACTTTACAACAAAGGGTTATCTCCAGATTGCTTTCATCGTTATTCTGCATCAACAACCCGAGGACTCTTTTGGGGGGTTATCACGTTCTGGTTTTGGTGGGATCTTGTTTTCTTTCCTTCCAGGGATTGTCTTAGCTTCACTGTTGTCAATCTGCCCCTCATTAGTTACTGAGTACAATGGGCACCGCTTTTGACCATCGTGATGCAGAAATGACCTTCAGGTTTATCTTTACCCAGGCTCTCATTCCTCACTCACACTAGTGAGTAAAGACAGAAACAGCACCGAACAGTCTACGATGAAAAGTGACGATTCCAAAATGTTCCACAGTAAAAGGCAAACACAAACATTCTTAAATCTTACGTGAAAAGAATCATCCTACCAGCAAAAGGGTGACCATAGTGAATCACAAGGATTCTTCTGGTTTGCTCCTGTCTTGACATCAGCAACAGACGCAAGCAGCTTGTCTGATGCATCTTTAGCAATGGCACTAGGCTGTTCCCTTCTGCTAGTGAAAAAGGGTGGCAGGCAGGGTACACTGAGGCACTTTACATTGCATAAAACGTAGTCTGTAATTTGCTGATAATGGCCTCCTCTGGAAAGGCCATTATCTTTGGCCTGCATATTTATTCCTGCCTCTGGAAATTTCCACTACATGCATCTGACGAAGTGGGTCTTTGCCCACGAAAGCTTATGCTCCTACACTTCAGTTAGTCTATAAGGTGCCACAGGACTCCTCGTCGCTTTTGCAGATTCAGACTAACACGGCTACCCCTCTGATCCTCTGGAAAGGACAGCTGATCCTTCTGAGGAAAAGAGCTACAGAAAGGATAAGTTGTATTAGGGTACAGGTCCGACACAGGCTGATCCACCCTCCATCCTCAACAAGGGGTCAGAAGTGAAAGGTTCTTGGTATCTCCTCAGCCACCGTTGTAAAGTAGTAGGGAAGACACCCTCTGTGGGTTCCTGATCCGTATGCCAGCTATTCTACCTCCTGAGATTCTACTCTTAAGATCCACTAACAAAATCATCCAAAGCACAGGATTTGGGGATGGGATACTCCAACTACCCAGACATCTCTTGGGTGGGCGCAGAGCAGGGCGCAGATTATCAAACGAGTTCTTAGAATGTATTAGGGATAGTTTTTTATTTGAGAAGGTGGAGAAAGCAGGAGGCTGTTCTAGATCTGATTTTGACAAATAGGAACTGGCTGAGAATTTGAAAGTGGAAGGCAGCTTGGATGAAGGTGATTGTGAAATGATATAGTCTGTGTTGCTGGTTCTGGATCAGAACTCGGAGCTGGTTTGGGTGCCACAGAGACTACCGGTGCCGATTCCCTTGGTTTGGCCCTGTTTCTGTTTGTCAGGCCGGCGGATAGGAGCCAAGCCCGAAGTGCCCGGTTTGTCTCCCATACTAACCTGCATTGGAGGCAAGGAGCAGGAGGAACAGGGCCTCTTTTTTGTATGGGCGGACTTTGGTGAAGCGGCCCGGTGTCTGTTGGCTCCAAGAGATTCCATGGGTAGGAAGGAATCGGTCTGAGTCGGCTGTAATGCCTTGTTAAAAGCATTTTCAGCCTCATCTTCCTGTCCCTTCTAGCTCGTGTTGTGAGCTTCGAACAATGGGGGCATTTCTGAGGAATATGCCCCTCACCAGGGCACCTGATATAGTGGGAATGCCTGTCTGAAGCGGGCATCAGCTCACGGCATGTGCCACACTTCTTAAAACTGGGTGATCCCGGCATAATTCTGTTAGCGTCGTTCGTCTCATCTTCTTTTTCTTTTTTTTAAAGGGCTTTTTTTTCCAATGAAACTACGCAACGGCTAATAAACTGAAGTATAACAACTACAACTATCTATATAACAGCTAAATATTAACCATTTTTGTTCTCAATTCCTGTCAGACTGTGACGAGAGGGAGCTCACTCCATCTGTGACCAAGGAGGAAGTAGCGGGAGCTGGACCGTGCATGCAGAAACGGTACAAATGGCACGAGGTGCCAAATGTGTGCGCATGGTCCAGGGGACCATTGCTGAAAAAATCTCTGATCTGCGGCTCCGGGACAAGCCCAACACAGGGACACTACTCAAAGAAGAATTAACCCCTTTAATCCTGTATTCAGGAAAACTTAAGACAAGCCCACACTGAGTAGCTGGTTGCTGACATACTGGTCAGAGATTACAGTGGGCTAGGTTTCCTAATGAATCTTCCTGTCACTGATCATCTAAGGTGGGGCAGCTCTAATGCCTCGTCATTTTCTGAGAAGAGGCTCTTCTGAACAAGAAACAAACAGGAAAGCAGATCTTTCTCCAGATCGCAGTGAGGCTACTGATCCGGGAGATGGTGTTGTCCACGTGTCAGCCCTTACCAACTCTTATCTGCATCTAGTGGCTTGGAAACACAGTCAGACCACCCGTGCTGCTCCAGGCCCCACCTGCTCCCCTGAACCTCTTTCCCCCCTAAACTCTGTCCCAGAGCCTGCACTCTAACCCCCCTCCCAGACCCAAACTCTCAGAGCTCAAATGCCTCCCTCACCCCCTGCATCCAAATGCCTTCCCAAAGCCGGCACCCTGCACCCCAATCTCCTGCCCAGCCCAGAGCCTGCTCCGGTCATTACTTTGGATGGAACGTGCACATGGAAGTCCATTCGGGTGTACAGGGGCGTCTTCCATTGTGACCTAAGTTTTTTTTTAATCAGCCACTTGAATTGTCATAGAATCATAGAATGAGCTGGCAGAGACCTCAGGAGGTCATCAAACCCAGCCCCCTGCCCAAGGCAGGACCAATCCCAACTAAATCAACCCGGCCAGGGCTTTGTCAAGCTGAGTCTTAAACACCTCTAGGGATGGAGATTCCACCCCCTCCCTAGGGAACCCATCCCAGTGCTTCACCACCCTCCTGGTGAAATAGTTTTCCCTAATATCCACCCTGGACCTCTCCCACCGCAACTTGAGACCATTGCTCCTTGTTCTGCCATCCATCACTATTGTGAACAGCCTCTCTCCATCCTCTCTGGAATCTCCCTTCAGGAAGTTGAAGGCTGCTATCAAATCCCCCCTCACTCTTCACTTCTGCAGACTAAACAAACCCAAATCCCTCAGCCTCTCCTCGTAGGTCATATGCTCCAGGCCCCCTAATCATTTTGGTCGCCGTCCACTGGACCCTCTCCAGTGTGTCCACATCCCTCCTGTAATTGGGGGCCCAGAACTGGACACAATACACCAGATGTGGCCTCACCAGAGCTGAATAAAGGGGAATAATGACATCTCTGCATCTGCTGGCAATGCTCCTCTTAATGCACCCTAATATGCCATTAGCCCTGAGCCCTGGGAGCCAGATCCATACATGCAAAGGGAAGCCAGGTCTGGCTGCATCTAGGCCTTATGTTCCCCACCCCTCATCTACATGATCCTATTTTAATCAGATAATGCCATGCTTCCTTTCTCCATGCTAGTAATGATTTTGTCGACCTGGCTTGTCTGGATCTGGCCCCCCAAGATTCCCGGCATTTGGGGAGCCCATGCTCACACTCCAGCCTTCCTGCTGCCCCACCACGGGGCTGGAGAACAAAAACTCTACTAGCCAAGGTCACATCAGTGAGGGTTTGGTTTTTTTGGTTGGTTTTTGTTTGGTTTTTCCTCACTTGTGTTCAGCCCCTGACTGATTTTGTCGGTCAGAAGCCGACAATAAAGACCACAAAAGCAATAAACCCCTTTGACATTTTAGAGGCCGAGGCCTGGGCCTTTCGAGCCTTGAGCTAATGAGAAGCTCTTGGGGAGGAACTCCCGGGAAATCCCAACAGGGAACGTTCATGGGCGATGGTGGATATCCCTGATAGTCACTAAATCTTCCCCTTCCCTCGGCACAGCTGTGATGGTGTGGTATGCTCCAGGGCTGACAGGGTGGTGATGGAATGGAATAATCCTAAGGCCACAAGCCACCAACCCCCAGAGCCTGGTAGCGCTTCTGTGGTGCGAAACCTCTGAGGTGATGGAATGTTCAGGGGCCGTTCCGGCGGGAAAAACCGGGTCCAGCCGGTAAGAACCAGCTCAGCTCAGCTCTGCCTTCTCTAGCTGCTGACAGGCCCTCTGCTCAAAATGGAGTCTTGTATGTGTAGTTGGGATTGTGTTTTGCAACCTGCAGTATTTTACACTGATCACCATTGAATTCCGTCTACCATTTTGTTGTGCAGTTACCCAGTTTTGTGGGATCCCTTTGTAACAGTTTGGAATCTGCCTGGCACTTAACTGCTTTGAGCAGTTTTGCATCCTCTGCAAATTTTGCCACCTGACTGATGGCTGCTTTTCCCAGAACATATGTTAAACAGTCCCAGATCCAGTACTGCCACATGAGGACACCCAGTATTCACACCTGTCATTTCAGAAAACTGACCATTAATTCTTACCCTTGGCTTCCTATCTTTTAACTTGTTATGGATCATTGAGCGGACTTTTTCTTTCGCCCCACGACAGCTTACTTGGCTTACAAGCCTTTAGTAAAGGATCTTGCCAAAGGTTTTCAGAAAATCTAAGCACATTAGATCCACTTGAACACCCTTGTCCACATGCTTGTTGGGCCTCTTAAAGAATTCTGCTGGATTGGTGAGGTCTGATTTCCCTTTACAGAAACTAGGCTGACGATTCCCCCCAACAAATCATTTTCCCAGGTGTCTCTGACAATTCTGTTTTTAGTGTAATTTCAACCAGTGTTCCTGGCAGGCAAGATACCATGTGGTTCTTCCAAGTCATCGCAAACCCAGCTGTCTGTTTCTAATGATCAATCCTCCTTCCCCCCGTTACTAACACCTGTCTCTGCCTAATAACTGGAGTTCCCCTCCCCAGAGAGGCATCCTCAGCATGAGAGGATACCGCAGCAGCATCTGGAAGGAAGGTCCGAGCTATAGGATTGCTTCCCGCTGTTCTAGCAATACTGTCAGACCAGGGTGAGACGATTCCACTGTGTCCTTGGAGCCTGCCAACTGTCCCCTGACATTTCTCATACCACAAACCAATGAAGGATTCAAAGGTGATTGTCGGCAGAGAGGAACTTAACCTGAGCCAAAGCAACAGCAATGGCAGCAGCACTGCAAACACAAACACTCAGCTTAAAATGAAAAGACAAACCAAGGGACTCTGGCTCCTGAGGGGTGTTTCCGGATCAGCTTGTAACTTTAAAATGGCCCCGTGTCGTAAGTGCCTGAACACTGACACTTAGGTAGGAAACATAAAGGCAGCTCTCAACCAGCATTTAAACACCACAGGACATGTAAGAAGAATGTGGGATCTTTTCAGGGACAAAGGCAAAGTGCTGTGTTTTATTGAGAATATAACATAAAAAGCAGCATTTGCACCCACACCCCGAACCCACCCCCTCACATCCCACTCCTGCCTGTAGCTTGGACCAATGTCATGGCCAGCAGGGAAGCAGGGTTCTGTCGCTCACGATCTGATGCTCTGAGGCTTAGCACGACAGAACCCAATGCAAGACACCCCATCTGTTATAGAATTCCTTCTCAGACGCACCTGCGAGTTTTGCTGCATTGTACGGGGATCAGTTACTTGGCAAGAAAGGGTTATCTCCAGATTGCTTTCATTGTCACTGCACCAGCATCCTGAGGGCTCTTTCTGTCACATTCTGGTAGAATTTTCCAATAAGTTTTGGAATGTCCTAGAGACCTTTTAAAAAAAATTTCAGAAGGTGGAGAAAGCAGGAGGCTGTTCATGAGATCTTGAATTATTTAAAAATCACAACGGAATCCTTCCAAAAGAGGAAACTACGTCAAAGTACCAAGGATGGAGATAGGCCAATATCACAAAAATATAGGGGTAAAGTTAGAAAGGCCAAGGCACAAAATGAGCTCCAACTGGCTGGAGACATAAAGGGTGACAAGAAAACATTCTAGAAAAACATTAGAAGTGAGAGAAAGCCCACGGAAAGGGTCAGTCCGTTTTTCAGTGAAGAGGGAAACATGAAAACAGAAAATGTGGAAATAACAGGGCCTGATGAAATGCATCCCAGAATGCTCAAGAAGTTGATTGAGGAGATAGCTAATGGGGGAGCTGCCAGTGGGTACTGGGCACTCAACAGGTTGTTCCCAGTGGGTGGACCAGCCCCCGATCACTCATGGAGTCCGTGCCTATTGCTGGATTTCCCAGATGAATGCTCGGTTCTTTCCCCCTTTCTATTAAAAGTTCCCTTTGTTACACAGACTCAGGGCTTGCAGCGGGGGGAGCGTGTTGCCTCCTGGAGGAATCTGGGTTGGTGTTAAGTTTTACCACATTAGTGGCTGGGGGTTAAAAGTTCCCTTTGTTACACACAGACTCAGGGCTTGCAGCGGAATGCTCAAGGAGCTGATTGAGGAGAAAAGCCAGAAAAGCAGGGACGTGAAGAGAGAGACCAAGGCCACCGAGCTCGTTCTGTGCAAACAGGCGGGTTTTCTCAGGGAGGCAACACACAAAGCCCTGGGAAATTCTCCATGGTGCTGACTGCTCGAGGGGATGGGTCGTCTGCACTCACAAGGCTTCCGTCCCAGGGGACGCTGGGAGATATTCAGATCATTACACTGCCAGAGCCAGCACCCGCCTGCCCCAAGCAAGTGATCCCTGGAACTCACCATAGAGCCTAGGGAAGGGTCTGCGCTGGGAGATATTCAGATCATTACACTGCCAGAGCCAGCACCCGCCTGCCCCAAGCAAGTGATCCCTGGAACTCTCCAGAGAGCCCGGGGAAGGGGCTACGGTGGCATAGGAAAGGCCATTCTGTGCTGTGCCCAGGATGAAGGATGCCCCTGGAGAGAGACCAAGGACGTGCCCAGATGGCTCATAACAAATTGCGGGTCTCTCACAGGGCAAAGCACCCGTACAGCAAAGCTAGAGGGGACGGTGTCGCAGGCGGGTGTAGGAGCAAACCAGAGGATCTCTTACCGCCTTGGTGCTGGTGGTGGGGACAGTCGACATGGAGAGATCGTCTGTCTGAGATTTCCAGCCGGGTGGTCGGAATCCCCTGATCCATCTCCTGTACTCCTCTCTCACCTGGGAGTCAAGGACACGGTCACTGCACCGCGTAAGGAACTCTGATGAGATCAGACATGGCCACCGTGGGGCTAGTGAAGGTGCTGGGTGGGCGCTGACGGGCCATGGGCCTTACCTGGCGATTGAGGAGACAGTGCACCAGGAAGATGAAGGCTCCCTGCAGGCTGTTGATGACGGTGAATAAATACGCCATGAGCGTGGCTGCTGGGCCGATTTGGAGAAGACCAAGGATCCATGTGCAGCCCAGAATGAAGAGCTGGGCGATGGCTTTAAAGGTCATTAGTCTGGAGAAAGGCAGAGAGAGCCCGTTACAACAACCCTGTGGGGAGCATCGGGGTCAGCAGGGTCTGGCCAGAGTGGGGTGGAGCTACCGGCCCTGCTTTCCTGTGTGGGACGGGGTTACTGTCAATGCGAACACAATGGGACTCGTTCCCATGGATCCTAGATACGCTGCCCCTCTCCTGCAGTCCCTCACTCCCTCTCCATGCCCAGGAACATCCAAACCAAGACACCTGACCCTCCACGACTGCTCCGATGCCTTCTCACCTGTGGCCTCTGAGGGTGGACACATCCGCATTGAGGGAGGACAGACTGCTTCTCAGGATCCACAGGGTCAGGGAAAAGAACGTCACATTTATCTGTGGGCAGCGGGAAATGTTTCCTGTGAAATGTCCCGTCCGGGGCTGGTCAGTCCAGCTCAGTCAGAGAACGATCCCAGGGGACCGAGCCGAATGCTGCAGAACTGGGATGGGACATGGCCTGGGGGAATCATCCCTTTCCTGTAAGGTCCCCGGCAGCGCTCGGTCTCTGCCTACACACGGAGCGGATGGCACAGCCAAGGCTGAGAAGGATCAATGGGATCACAGAGGCCAGATTCTGCTCAGTGTTCAATATGGAGCCACTCCAGTGGAGTAAATAGGGTTCACACTGGTGTAACTGAGCAGGATTTGGCTCAGAGAGTCCAGATCTTGCCTCTAGAATATTTCCTGAACTTTCCGGCTGTAAGAAATTCCTGTTCCCTCGACCCATCCTACTTCCCCACGTGCTAGGGAAGAATATTTAGGGACATCTGTTCCGCTCCCCCGCTCACACATAATCACGGTATGGTGTAGCCCTCTCCCTTCCCCATTCCTTGGGCCATTAGCTAGACTGGACCAGACTTTCTGTCTCTTGGCCAAACTCCTGCTGACGTTCGTGGCAGCTGTGCCCGAGTAAAGGCTGTGGGCTGGGGACAGGGCACAGGGACAGATCCTGCGACTGGCCAAAGCAGATGAACCAGGTGGGTCCTAACTGGGTCTTTCCTTGTGTTTTATGGACACACCTTCACCTCCCTGCTTCCCTCAAATCAGTGGGGCTGCCGAGGTGGGAGAAGGGGGCTGGGCTGGGGTTCTGTGAGGTACCCACCAGGATTATGGCACAGACTGGCCCCAGGAAACTCCAGCGAAAGCCTCTGTCCAGGCTGAGCCAGCAGCTACAGGCAGGGAGGAAGAAGCGCATTACCCCTGACGTGAGAGCATAGGGGCAGGAATGTGATCACTGCCCTGCGAGCGACGGGTGTCACAGGGCATCTCCTCCCAGCCTCACGATGGATCTCAGCCAGCCTGTTTCATTGGGACCCCCTTGCAGGCCAAGAGGTTCTGCCTCCCCCAACCCCATCAACCAGATCCTTCCCCACTTTCTGTCAACCCCACCTCTCCCACCTCTTCATGGGGAGCCAAGTGGGCAGCAAATGTAAATCGGCCTCTCTGCACTGGAGCAAGCAACGTGACACTGATTTACACGAGCAGGGGGTCTAGCCTGGGGTCCCTAGAACACGCCCCACCCTCCTTTAGTGGAGTTGCTTGCTTTAGAGGGGAGACCCTCAAGGATTTGCCCACGGTACAGAGGTGCGTTTCTCCCCAGCACCACAAAGTCAGCCTGGACCTTCCAAGATTGTTCTGCAGCATCAGTGGGGCGAGGACTGGAGCTGCCTGGCATGTGGGCAACTTGGCTACTGTGCTGGGGGCGGCTTAGTGTTCCTGGGGCGGAGGGAGGTTCCAGGGGGACAGCTCCCAGGCAGGGTGAGCAGGGCAATGCAGGCTACGGACACGGAGGCCACGTCCTAGCTCCCCTTCGCGGTGGGCGCTGCACTTACTGGTCGGAAGTTCCGTAGCCCAGCCCAGCCTGTTTCATTGGGACCCCCTTGCAGGCCAAGAGGTTCTGCCTCCCCCAACCCCATCAACCAGATCCTTCCCCACTTTCTGTCAACCCCACCTCTCCCACCTCTTCATGGGGAGCCAAGTGGGCAGCAAATGTAAATCGGCCTCTCTGCACTGGAGCAAGCAACGTGACACTGATTTACAC